AAATGCTGCTTCTGCTTCTTGATTCCATTGGAATTTATCTTTACTAGTCAAGCGTATAAGTGGAGCTGCAACTCGTGAGAAATCTTTGATGAAGATCCGATAGTAATTGGCAAATCCCAAGAAACATTGGACATCTCTTACTGTCCTTGGAATCTTCCAATCCATGATTGTTTGGACTTTCTTAGAATCCATCATGAGACCATCATTTGAAATGATGTATCCTAAAAAGTCAACTTGAGTAGTGTGAAATACACACTTTTCCATCTTGGCGTACAATCCTGCATCTCTAAGTTTTTGTAATACTTGACGAACATGTATTTCATGTTCTTCGACGTTCTTAGAATAGATCAGGATATCGTCTAGATAGCAGACGACAAAATTGTCTAAGAATTCATGAAATACATCATTCATGAGATGTTGAAAAGCAGCTGGTGCATTCGTGAGTCCAAAGGGCATGACATTATATTCGAAATGTCCATACCTGGTTCGAAACGCAGTCTTCCATTCATCTCCTTCTTTGATCCATACTAGATTATATGCTCCTCTTAGATCTATTTTTGTATAGATCTTAGCTTGATTCAACTGATCAAGGAGTCTTGATATCAAAGGTAATGGATACCTGTTCTTGATTGTGATCTTGTTGAGTCCTCGATAATCAACACACATTTGTAAAGATCCATCTTTTTTCTTTACGAATAGAATTGGAGCTCCTGCTGGAGATTTTGAATGGCGTATAAAATTCTTCGCTAAATTCTCGTCAATATATGTCTTGAGTTCAGCCATCTCATCTTGCGATAAACTGTAAATTGGTCCAAATGGTGGCTGACTTCCTTCCTTGAGGTCGATTGAACAATCATATGGGCGATGCTCAGGAAGAATATCTGCATTCTTTTTCTCAAAAACGTCTTGATACTCCTGATATTGACTTGGAATGCCAATTGAAGTCTTTACGTTTTCAGAAATAGGTGTAGCATAAATAGCAAAAGTTGATCCTTCTTTTGCTGCGTGTATAAATGCTTTTGCACCTATCAGTACGGGTTTTACTATACTAGACTTATAATTTTTTACTTGGTTGGTAGAACTATTAATAACGCTTTGGAAAAAGTCAAGTTTACACGAATTCCAATCTATTCGAGGATTATATTTTTCTAGCCAGGATAAACCTAAAATAACTGGATTGGACGGAGATTTAATTATGTTAAAAGCTATGTAGCTATCATGACCGTCTATTGTTACTTTTATAGGATGAGTTTCATGAGTGACATCTCCAGAAGACAAGGGACGACCATCTATGACTTCTACATGTACTGGTTTAGGTTTCTGTACAAAGGGTATTTTACGACTTTTAACAAATTGTTCATCTAAAAAACATGCTGAGGCTCCCGAATCTAATAAAGCAGAGGCTTTGTAATTCTTAGGTCCTAAATATAAGTCTATTATAAAACAAGGAGAGGGTTCTGAGGAGAGGATAGGACCTTCATTAGGAATTGTACAAGGTTCCAGCTGCACGGTCCCTATTATAGCTGGACGAATCCGTTTTCCGACATGTTGTCTTCTTTGACCGTCGTACCCCTCATTTTATAGTTGCGTCGTTTCTTTGGACAATGTTGAGCAGTGTGCTTAGGTTCTCCGCAATATAAACATAATCCTTCTTGACGACGACGAATCTTTTCTTACTCAGTTAGGGGTTTAAAACGTACCACGTCAATTTGCATGTCTTCTACTTCTGAATGTACGTTTGGCAAAGATGTTGATGTTGCCATTGAGTAATAACGTTGAGGTTCACGTGAATGATTCTCGAATCAAAATTCGAAAAGTCGATTATCACATTTTATCGCAAAATCGATTGCTTGACTCAAAGTTTGAGGATCAGGTAAGTTGAGCATCAATTTCTTTACTTCGTATTGCAATCCATAAAAAAATTGACTGATGAGTGCAGCATCATCCCACTTGATGTCAATTGCAAGTTGTCGAAATTGTGAAGCATATAGTGTTACTGAGCGATTTCCTTGTCGTAGAATTCGGATCTTATTTGTTGCAACACGAGTTGCATCGTGTTCACGATACATAGATCGAAACTCCGCCGAAAAAGCTTCTAAATTGTCCAATATTGGATTTCGTTGTTCAAGAAAAGACGAAAACCACGATAATGCAGAACCAGAAAGTAGAGTGCCAATAAACCTGACTTGTGATCCTGGAGTTGGATAGCTTTGCGGTTGAAGTTCAATTGCCAATTGTACTTGATTGATGAACCCTCGAAACTTTGATCTCGTACCATCAAATTTCTCAGGTAAGGCAATTCTTGGTTTTCTAGTGCTTATAGGGTGTTGTACAATTGGAGAAGGAACGTGATTTGTTGTAGATGTTGAAGCAGCTCCGATCATCTCTATATCTCCACTTTCTGCTATTCTTGTTCTTTCCTGTGTTGGTGAATTGAGTTGATGCATCGCAAGAAAAAATTTAGAATCCAACATGATGGAGCTTATGTTATTACAAATATTGATTCACATCAATTCAAATTTTACTTACAATGTATGAGAATTGAGTTACCACCAATATCATACTTAGTTTCCAACTTTGTCCTTATTCATTGCAAACTTGATGTTGATTTAATTTGGAGTAATTTTCTTAGGTATAATGTCTCATGTAAGTCCACTACCTCAATGCAAACTCATAACTAAGTGGCTATATGCATTGAAGCTTGCATTACATCAACTTGTATAGTAACAAGTTTAACTATTAATCCAATGGGAAGAATAGCCCTACACATGCATGAATAAGATTTAGATCAATCATAATCTTAGTTGCTCCTGTTAGCTTGCATTAATGCCTTATTTAATTCGAAATTATGTCTAAATACTTTATAACTTTTATTATCAATAATTAATAGAAAATCTAGTTAAGCAAGTATTAGGAAAGTTATCTTGAGGTGTATTGGTTGTATTGCCTCATATAAGTTCTTGTCCAATTGTCAATATATAAGGCATGTTAGCAATTTTTGTCCAAACCTTGACAAGATTAAGGTTGGATTAAACATTAGTTGGACTACTGCATATCCCATAGTTAATATTGTGATGTATATTTGAATTATAAACAATTCTATTATTTTAAATTAGAGATATAGCTAATTGTTATACAAATCTTATTATTCTATCTATGCAAATAGCTAAATAAATCAAAGTATAGAGTACATGTCAAAGCATCTTATGTATGTCTTCCTTATACTATGCAAGGATGGACTATGTCATGGAAGCTTTACACCTTTTATTAACTCAAAATAGCTTAATTAAATCAAATCTTTTTATACTAACTAAAGAAGGTGACATTGTGCAAAGTCATATATTAATGAAAACATTACTAAAATTCTTCTTGTTTTTAACATCAAGATGTTTAAAATAAAACATCACATTTCAAATATAATTATGATCTATTAAAAAATATGCAAAACATTCAAATCATTACAACGAAAATAAAAAGAAGCATATAAGAATCACACACACACACACACACACACATATATATATATATATATATACATATATTTCTATCTTTTGATTCATGTACAACTAAGAAAACCAAATCCACATTTGTGCAACACTTGACTTTTTTTTATTTTTTTTATTTTCATGATTAGTAAGTGCCAAAAAATTGTACTGGAAAAAAATATATATTCATCACAAATTCGACATTTTTTGTGAATAAAGGGCCAAAACATAGTACTGGAAATCTAAACAATTTTAAAAAATAAAATTAAAAAAAGGGGGGGGGAGAAGAAGAAGGAAAACTTCAAAGTTCAGCAAACAAATTCAACCACTTTGGATTGAAATTTGGGACTTAAAAGGCTTACTATATTTATAAATGCTTTTATAATATCCTATTCTTGAAGCCTGTTTTCTGTTCAATTCCACATTTCAGAATTCAGATTTCAAACAGTCCCCAGAATCTTGCAAAATCACTATTCAAAATCCAAACAAACAAAAGTCTAGTCCGAATATAGATTCACCAACAGATGACCAAACCTAAAAGCCATAACTCACTTCCTTAAATCAATTTTCCTCCTTCTCAACCACGCACAGAAATGTTCCCCAACAAACCATGACTGTAGAAGGGGCCTTCTGTACAACTAATAATCGAACCACATTATTGGAATGACACACTAAATAGAAATAAGCACAACATGGGCCAGTGGTGGGTCAAATTCGGAAAATGGACACTTGAGCCGACATAAACATAAAACTATGGAAATATTGCAAAAAACGACACAAAGGAGATGAATGAAAAACAACACAACATGACGCACATTTTCATGCAAAGGATGATGATTCAGCCCACGCTTTACCCCCGCCGCTGAGGTGTTCAACTCTATATAATGACAAACTCGTTACCGGCGTACGTATACTGAAGTAGTAGTACGAGGACAAGGTCAACAATAAGGGATCCCATGACCGTAATACCCCTATGACCGGTAGCCCTGAAAGGAGTAGTCGTCGTTCACGACTCCGAGAGTACGCTCGTTGCAACGCAGAAGAAGGCGACGCAGAGGAGGACCTAGGCAAACCAACGAGAATTGTCAAAGCACGGCCACCGCAGGGCGATGATAATGCAGTGAGCAGATTTGGATTCTGGGTCCAGGTGGGAGTGATGTGTGTGGGCCCGTTTTCGCAACGAAGCGGAGATTTGGAGGGGGGGGGTTGGAATTCGCCGCGGACCCACCGCTGGAGCCGTGAGCGGTGCCATCTGTAACCCATGAGGAGGAGGAGATCGACGATGGGGCCGTAACTGTAAACTAGACTGTTGCGGAGTGAATGAATGCGTCGTTGTGGTGGTGACTTGGAGGAGGAGCAAAAGGGAAATGGGAGAAAAAGGTCATGGTGACCCGGTTCCTCCGTCGCAGCTCTTGCCTGGCGCTCCTTGTCAGACCCCCACCCCGCCCCCTTCCTCCTCACCCTCCGCGCAATCAGTTCAATCACAAGGCCCCCTTCTCTCTCACGAATTCTAGCACTGTGTCTCGGTCTGCTCCCACTTCCAGGGCTTGGTAGCCACACAACCTAGAAGTTGGACTTTCGCTGAGCTGGGTGAGAGAGTGTGAAGCGGGCAGAGCAGGCTGCGGTGCAATGGAGCTATAGCGACGACGTGCAGAGAGAGAGCGAGAGAGAGAGAGAGAGAGAGAGAGAGGAGGTGTCTGACGAGTGATGATGTGATTTGTGGAGTGAGAGAGAGGACCTGAGGGAGTGGGTTGGTGTCGAGATTAGATCTTGGAAGTAGTGAGGGGAAGGCAGCGATGGGTGGGAACGGAGGTGGCGACGTGAAGATGCAGGATGAGTTGCTGCGGAAGTCGTATACTGCTAGCGAGATTCGCCACCTCAAGTCTCAAGTGCGTGATTTGATGGTTTCGTTCCTTGTTGGAGCAGGGAATTGGAGACTAGTGGAGAGGAGTGGGCGGCAATAGTTTGAGCGCTGGTTTTGTGAATTTTTTAATGGTTTTCAGTTGCGGTTGTGGGAGCGGGGTTTTTGTGGCTTGATTTGACGTGCGTAAGAATTTGTAATGTGAGTCGTGGTTGATCAGCAGTTGGGTTGAGTTGCGAGGCTGGGTGTTGTGAGCAGGGAGAAATTGAGCCAGAGCGACAGACAGCGAGAGCGAGGAAATATGTAGCGTTGTTTTCAGTGTGATTGGGATACACGAGAAAGTATTAGCTCACCCGTTAGGGGTGCATGATAATCGGTAGTTGAGCTGTTGGTCGTATTGATTGATTTTTACTGTGGTGAAGTCTTTCCACGACGCTGGAGCATCCACGATCTCACGATCTGATGTTAAGGAACCAGAAATATCGTTCGTCTCAGGTCTTGAGAAGTTGGTTGCCTTTCGTTTGGTGCATCGTGTCAAGACGATAGGGTTTGCAATGTGGACTTAAGTGTCATCCGCCTGCATCGTTATTAGTGTGATATTATTCTTCACGGGGGTGTTCTCTTGTGTTTGCATGGAGTTGGGATTCAAGAATGTCCGCTCGATCCAGGATGGATGTAAACAAGAAATTCGCACGCTTCTGATCCAAGATTAGGTTGAGAAAAGTGGATTCTGTTTTCTAGAGATGCTTTGGTAAATGTACCCATCAGCTGTAGGTTGTGCTAGCTTATCTACTATTGTCGTGATATTTTTAATTATTTTCTGCGCCGAATCGGAGTGAAGGTTGAGCCGGTCTCGTTAGACTCAAAATTTGTTCACTTAAGCATAGCATCGAGCGAACTACGACTTGGAACCATTGCCATCCTAGTTCTTTCATAACTCGCGGAGTGATTTTAAAACCTTTCTAATGTTCTGCTGCTGGTGTTAAACGCCTTGTGTGTGGATTGTTTCGATTACAATGATGTATCAAGAATCAACCCCATTTCAACAATTTATGTAGGTTCGAGGTTATTGAGCAACTCTTTTTTCTGTTCTGCAGTTCGACTTGATCAACACTGGAAAGACAGGAATTCTTACTGTAAGTGAGCTGGAAGCAGGGATGAAAGTCTTAAAGGTGCATCAGTCAGCGACATTAAAAGAGGTCCAAAATATTGTCAGCAAGTATGATACAAAGAAACAAATGGGACTTGACTTTGAAGATTTTTTACGAGTAATTCTCAGACCTAACCCTTTTGAATATGCAATTATCTAGAAGCTCAGTTTGTGAATGTTGCTCACCGAGATCACGATTCTCAAAATTGGTGATTTTGGTTTCACTTAATGTTTTTCCTGTCTGCTTATGGTACTTTGGGCACAGATTATAGTTTTCACTAATTTTGTAGTCGATCAAATGATGTGCTTCTGTCGATACATTGAGTATCTTTTAAACTAGATCACGTCATAGCATAATCCTGGTTGACGTTGGCTTAAATTTATCGCTTATTCGACGATTCTTCTGTAATTAATGCGAATGTTTTGAAGGCATAAAATGACTCAGTTTCGTCATTTCTTTAACGCGGAATCGTTCAAAATTTGATTCCTTTCTTTCATAAGGGTGTTGTGAAACTTCTGTACCTGACAAATCATCATGAATGATGGAAAATAGATGCAGATGGAGTTGCGCAAAGGAGGAAGAGGTTTCAGGCAGAGTCCAGCTAAAGGAGACTCTTCTTTTTTGACAAGTACAGCCACCACGTTGGTCCATACCATCAGTGATTCTGAGAAGAAGGCATATGTAGACCATATTAACATGTATTTAGAAAATGATCCTGTTCTTCAACCAGTTTTACCTATTGACCCATCAACGAATCAATTGTTTGAAATTATCAAGGATGGTGTTCTTCTTTGGTACGCAGCCTTCTACTTTGTGGTCTGAGCTGATGATGGACGTGGGAACTAGTTTTTTCTAGAGGAACCCTACAATTTGGGGATAAAAGAATCGTGGTTTCATTTCATCATAGTTGCTTTCCATTCTGGTTACGTCAGAGTTTCAATTATAATTTAAGTTTTGTTTTAATTCTTCTTTTTATGTATCTTGATGCAAATCCCGTCCTAAGAATGAATGCATCAGGAGGAAGATTAGAAAAGTTGTGAATCAGTTTATTTTATCAATTTTCTTGACGATGCCTTTCCTTGGTGCAGTAAATTGATCAATGTGGCAGTTGCTGGTACTATCGACGAGAGAGCGATTAATATGAAAGAGAAGTTGAACCCATGGGAACGAATAGAGAATCACACACTTTGCCTCAATTCCGCTAAAGCCATTGGATGCTCTGTAGTCAACATTGGCACTCAGGACTTAGGCGACGGAAGGGTAATGACAAGTGCACGTCTTTGTTTAGGATGAACGTAACGAATATATGAAACTTTGTATGTTGATGTGGACAATAAGACGTGTTCTTTTCGTGAATTTGTATTAGAATGAGATGGTAAAACACACTTCTTGCTTAATTTTGTGAGTCATTTTGTGTGGGTGAATGCAGCCTCACTTGGTACTTGGTCTCATCAGTCAGATTGTGAAGGTACGTGTCGCAAGTCTGTTCTTTGCTTTGTAGGTTAGTCATATGATGGTTAGCTATGTATTCCAGCCAGTGCACTTGTGTGTGGTATTGGTTATTTGTTATCGGCATTGCGAACTGTGAATTATTCGATTGACTTCCAAGTAATTCTCGATATTCCATCACCAGGTTGTTATATTTCTAATCTTAAAGAGTCGTAATGGCTCAGGAGCTGCCCATAGATATGTAGGTCATATGAATGCTATAGGACCATGCTACAGAGAAAGTATTTGAGATATACTTGTTTTATTCGTTTGTGCAACCAGATACAACTTCTAGCAACAGTAAATCTGAAGCATACTCCGGAGCTTGCGGAATTGCTCGATGAAACTGAGGTCTGTATACTCCCTATCAGTCGAAGATTGATCTTGTTTTTAAGTTGCTACCATTTATAACGTGGTTCCTTGAATGTGGTACCGTTTGATTAACGTTTAGTTAGTTTACATTATACTAAACTCCTTACAATTGTTGCTATTGTGAATCTTGAACATGACGTTAGGAATTTGAGGAGCTGTGGAGTATGCCAGCTGAGAAAATCTTGCTTCGGTGGATGAATTTTCATTTGAGGAAAGCGGGCTACAAGAAGATCGTGTCGAATTTCACTTCTGATGTTAAGGTAACGGTCTGGTCCTGGTCTAGCGAGTCTGGTAGTCTGGACTTGGCGATAAATTGATATTGCACATTGTTTGTTTCTCATGTCTTTTACTTTTTCTTTATTCTCTCCTTTGCACCGATCATGTTACATGTTTTTTTTTTTTTTTTTTTTTTTTTTTTTTTCATTTTTGTCAATTCATTGACACTTGGAATGGATTATTTGTCCAGGATGCAACAGCCTACACACTCCTTTTGAATCAGCTTGCTCCAGAGTCTTGTTCATTAGATCCTCTGCATGTTGAAGATGTTTATGAGCGAGCAAAGGCAGTCCTTGCACAAGCTGAGCGCATTAATTGCCGCAAGTACATCACTGCGAAGGACTTGGTGGATGGCTCAGCCAATCTCAACCTTGCTTTCGTGGCGCATCTGTTCCACACTAAGTGCGTTTCCATATGAATTTTTTTTTTAATGGTTTTGGTTGCGCTGGAATCATGGGAAGTAGTGATAGCTTCTGTTGGATCCACACCAGTGTTGCCTCTTATATGGTAGAGGTGGTTGTTTACATGTGTTTGGAAGATAATCGTATACTTAGGATTCACAACAAGGGTCTTAGACTAGGTTTATCCTGTGGACAGGTCGAAAGTAACATGAGCGTTAGAGCTTAATTGGCATCGATACTTCACTGGGTAGTATCCTAATGATAGTCTTTATCATGTTCTAGGAATGGGTTGACACAAGATGCTTCAAAATATGACTATGCTGAGCTCCTTCAAGATGATGAGTACAAAGAAGCATCAAGAGAGGAGCGCATGTATAGGACGTGGATTAATAGTCAGGGCACTGATACTTTTGTCAGCTCCCTTTTTGAGGATGTTCGAGATGGGTATGTGATTTTAACCTTTTCAGTTTTGTTTGTAAAAATGGTTTTTAGTCCTTTGTAAAAATGGTTCTTTGTCCTTAAAAATGGTTTGTAAAAATGGATTTTAAAGAGGTCATATGTTGAATAATATAGTAATTTTATTTTTTAAATGTAACTTTTATCATAAACTGCTCTGCAGCTTCTTGTACATTTTTTTAGTCGCTAATAGGGGAAATGAAGTTAAAGCCCTATCGATAGTTTTGCGTTCCTTATAAATATGGCCTTAGAGCAGTACCAAATTAAGCACCTGGGCATATTCAATTGGCTTTGCTGGCTCGAAGTGCTTATTAAATCATGCTTAACGGAATTAAGAGTTTATTGACATCTTTAATAATGTGTTGGTTACTTTTCGATGCAATATCACAAATAGGTGACATTACCTTTTATTGTGAATCTATTTTGTGACTAGGTGGGTATTGCTGGAGACTTTGGACAAGGTTGCACCCGGTTCAGTTAATTGGAAGAGCGCCACCAAACCACCAATAAAATGGCCTTTCAAAAAAGTAGAGAATTGCAACCAAGTGGTTGACATCGGCAAAAGGCTGAAATTTTCACTTGTTAATATCTCAGGATTGGATATTGTTCAAGGCCAGAAGAAACTCATTTTAGGTATGAAGTTAATTTTTTGGGGTGCTCTTCATATTTGCAGATAATACTTTGTCATTAGAGTTGTGGTATGATTGATACTAGCATTTACCTTAAACGCTAATGGGTATTCATGATGAACGTCCTTGCAGCATACCTTTGGCAGTTGATGCGATTCAGTATGTTGCAACTGCTGAAGGATCTGAAACTGCATGGAAGAGAAGTATCCGACGCAGATATAATTCATTGGGCCAACATTAAAGTTAGAAATGTTGGAAAAACCTCTCGACTGGAGAGCTTCAAGGTCATATATCCTTGTTGTTGTTTGTGCCATTACACTGCACTGATTTTATCATGATGCTCTTGGCACATTCACACAAAACTTTACGACCTTAAATGGTGGTATTTTAGGTTTTATTTTCTATCTCCTATTTCAAATGTTATAACCTTATATCGCTGTTCCTTAAGTTTCTTTCACATATAAGCAAATGAAAAAATGGTTGCTTTTGTTTCCTATGCGCAGGACAAAACTTTGTCGACAGGTCTTTTCTTTCTGGATCTTCTGGGTGCAGTGGAGCCGCGTGTAGTGAATTGGACACTTGTGACCAAGGGAATGACTGGTAAGTTGTTCCGTCATAGTAGATCAGATTTTCAACTCAAAGTAGGGAGCTCGAACTTTAGAGATTAGATGGGTATGAATGGCTGAGTTGGTACGCTAATATCATGTAGCAGCTGGTGGTTGGTTATGGAAACGATATTGCAGCTGCTAATGTTTTAAGCCATTTCTTTGCACATCTGTTTTCTTTTACCTCCGAGATAATGTGTTTCTGCATATGATTACAGATGACGACAAGCGAGTCAATGCTACTTACATCATCAGTATTGCACGAAAACTGGGATGCTCGGTCTTCCTTTTGTGGGATGATATAGTTGAGGTGAGTATCTGTGGCTGAATCGGTATCTAGCATAAGGTTTTCTAAACTCAAAGGATTTGTATGGATGACATTCACCCTCACCTTTCAGAGTTGCTAATGTTTTTTCGGGGATAACATGTTTTCGGGTTTTCTTTCGAATAATCAATGCAGGATGTAGTTCTTTTATCGTTGTTTTAGGTTTTTCCTTAATTGCAATTAGCAACTGACGATCAAAACTAACTCTCCACTCCCTGGTTTCCTCCGTCATAATCATTTGGGAATGTCCTCGTGAGATCAATTTTTTCGTTGTTATCCTGATGATTAATTTTTAATTCTGATGACAGGTTCGGCCGAAAATGATTTTGACGCTGACAGCAAGCATCATGTTGTGGAGTTTGGCAAATAAAGTTACAAAGGCGTCAGAGACCAGTGCTTCTTTAGGCAAATGGACAGCAGCGGTCGCGAAGATCGACGCCACCAAGAAGTTGGGGGGTACATTGCGAACTTCCGTCTAGATAGGTATTTCTTTTAAATGGTTCATAGGTAGGAGAAGGTCAATTTACTGATATTGGGGAGCATTTCATGGGGTGGACACCGCTTGTATTTATTGATGTTCGCCTCTAGATGTGCTGGGCGTCTCTAGAAGTCCCCCGGTTCTTCCCTTTAAATTGTAATGAGTTGGATATTCATCGACTCTTATTGCTGCCTAGTGCATCAAGCTGCACATACGCCCACTCCTCTTGGTGTAATATAGCGTGTAACTCTAGTTTATCACGAATATGGACTACCTCATACAGACATTTGGGTCTGCCAGTATTTTCACACTAGCAGACGAACTTTTTTCTTTTCTCACCACAATGCTTCAAGAAATGCAACTTTTCCCAATTTTTGGGATGGTGGGGGTTGGCAGGATTTGGCCTGTCCTGTCCATTATCCGGGATGGCACAACAGGGAGTGATTATTTGAAGAATTGAGGGATTAACAAATGGTCTTATGTGCTTTATCATGCAATGTCGAATAAACTTTCTGTGAGGTAAAAGGCTAATGTCTATGTATGAGAACAATATTTTTTACACGTCATGAGCACCGGAGACCATCAACAAGTTTGTGTATTTAGTGAAAAGTATATAATTTACTATATTGTGTATATGATAATAATGGAAGTTTTAATCTCTTTTTTATTTTTTGACACAAAATAGAATATTCTCACAGCTTGGACTGTGAAATGTAAAGAGAAGCACAATTATATTGTTATACCCTTTTTTTCTTTTTTTCTTTTTTTTTTTTTTTCAAGTGGATGTAACATTGATTAGGCTTAAAACTATAAAATTATATTATGTTATTCTTCAATCACATTGTGAATTATTAGAGCACCTTAGAGTTCTATTTTAGATTAGATTAGACTTATGTTTCTTATCATCTAAGTTTTGTTCAATGTTTTAGTTCATTTTGTAAGGAATATTTTCTCATTTTCTAGGTGTTTTTCAATCTTTTTGTAAGTGGCTTTTTAATGTGTTTGGTTATATTTTACTAAAGTAGACCAAATCTTTTTCCTAGTATTAAGGTAATTTTACACCTCAAATTCAATTTCAAATTTATTACTTGGGATTTAGATGGTTCATATTTACAAACCTCTTAATAAAGATCTTATAATGCTAAATCTTTAAAATTTGGAAAGAATAGTTTTGACATAGATTGTTTGTTTCTAAGTAAATAACTTCTATAGTGCCCATTTTTAGAATTTATGTTAGTTTGAAATACAACAAGGTGGTCCAATTCTATATTTTTTTTAGTTTAGAGGCATTTTCAAAAGATATACATAATGATTTTTAGTTGATTAAGTTTGTAAAGTATATAATGGATTGCAGTCTTTTGACTAATTTGTTTTTTTGTTTTTTTTATTTCTACTCTTTTAAACTAAATAAGCTATATTTTTCAAAGCTATGAATCTAGACAAAACTTTGAAAGACAAAATACTCTTGTGTCAAAAAGAGAAAAGAATAATAAGAAGAGATAGATATAAGATAGAAAAGAATTAAAATAATTATTACAGGATACAAAGAAATTAAAGAGTCTTGAATGAAGATTGGAGTATTAAAAAAGAATTGACAAGATTGGTAATTGCCTCATTCTTGCCTCCACATGAACTAGTTACTAAAAATGCCTTATTGAAGCTTCCTAACAACCACAAAATTTATAGCCTAAACTTCAAATTTTAGGTTGCTTCTAATGTAGCCTCCAAAAATTAAGAAGCTTGTAAGACAAGTTTCAATAGCCATTTGGCATATTTATAGGAATTTAAAGATCTAATCTACATTTAAAAGAGTTCTTTGAAGTTTTATAAATTAGATATTATATAACATAATTCTACTTATTTCTATCTATTCTTATTTACATAAGTAATATAGACATCCATTAAATTATCTCTACTTCTAATAAAAAGTTCTACATAAGATAGTCAAGTTATTTTAGGAGTTGATCAAGTTTAAGATCTATTGAATAGTATTAGCAACTAACACTGATCAATGTTTTGTACAATTGTGGTTGATAGGTTCTTTAAACCATTCATAATGTTTCATACTAACCTAAGAAGATCACTTAGTTATTTGATTATTATTGAGACCTTTATAACTACTTTCAAAGAATATATTCTTGATATCATTGGATATAGTACCTAAATCTAGTAGTATCATTAGTCACTAAGAATCTCTTCTAAAATTGTGGTGCTATATATGTTGTATCTTGTTATCTATTTAAAAAGGACATATTTCTCTTTATGATCTTCATTTCAATTTTGAGGTTTGAAGGTTGAAAAAATTTAAATATTTTATCTAATAATTCTACAAATGATAACACAAGATGAAACTGTATGTTTATTCTCTATTTTGCAAAGAAGTTTTAAAGATTAAAACTTAAATTTTTTCCTTCTTAATTTTTATCATGTTATTGTCAATAGTTGGTCTTTTTTTTTAATATATGTTTTTTTAAAAAATAAAAATAATTTTTAATAAAATTATAAGATTTTTGCACAACTCCAATGTGCATATAATGATATCATATTTATACCAATGTACAAGATACATCAATTTATTTTGAAGCTTCTTTAAATCCAAAACTTCTTCTTCTTCAAACTTTTAGTTGTTAACTATTTTAATAAGAGGTAGTGGTAATTGATTTCTTCTTAATACATTGATTGTTGTATAAGGCTTGATAAGAAATATATAAAATGCAAGATAAAATTTAATTAATTATAATAATTTTAGTTAACATGTAACTAAATTTATATGTTTTAAAATAAAAATAAGCTAAATCTTCAATAATCCTTTTTGTTACAAGGTCAATTAGTCTTGATATTATGACAAAGTAACCATACTTTATCATCAACTTTGAATTTTTATTGTTCTTTTCTATACACATATGCATAATTTATTTGTTATTCTTAAGCCTCTTTAAGTTGTGTCTTTATTATCATATAGAACTCTACAACTTTTCTTGTCAAATCCTTTTTTTAAAAAATTTTAACAATTAAAACGTTAAAAATATCAAATTATAGATAATAACCAAAATTATCAAAAAGTAGTATTTTTTGAGTAGAAAAATTTGTTGTATTATTATATAAAATTCTATTAATAGAAAAATATTATCTAATTAACTTGATAATAGTTAATGGTATATTATAATTACTATTACAATATATGATTCATACATTCCATTTATCCATTATTTCAAAGATAAAAAATTAAAGATAATATGGTATAAATCTTCAATATATTGAAGAGAGTTGTTTAAAACTTTGATGCAAAATAGAAGCTTAGATTATATATAATATTAGTTAAAAATTTATAATATGAGTATATATTATCAAAAAAATAATTTGACTAATTCTTTACCAATTAGAAATTTTGTACAAAGTATAAAATGAAAAATTTAGGTTAGATAAGCTTCTATTACAAAAAAAAAGTTATAAGAATTTGATATTATAAGATTTATAATAAATTCTATTGAAATAGATGACTAAGGTTGTTTTGGATAAATACAAGTTGAAGAAGTTAAGAAGATTGATGACATAAAATCCTTGTCTGAAAACAAGTGTCACAAGATTGAACACATACTTTAACCTTCTTTCCTTGATGCCACTAAAAATATCTAAAAGTAAACTCTAAAATTTTGTTATATCTAAGATATTCTATTATTAGTTATTTATATTATAATTGAAATATATGTAACTATATTTGGTCTACTAAAATATATAAACTCCTTTTATAAAAAAGAAAGTTATCTTTGGAATTAATTTTATTAGAATCATCATAAAAGTTGTTATGACATCTATAACAAGAAGGTTTATTAAAATATTTGAACCAAATTTATTAAAAAAGAAGTAATTTTAATTACAATTATTGATATAATAGCTCTAAAATGCTTCTACATTAGTTTTAATAGAATGATTTATTGTTGATCATGTCTATTATTTTCTTTATTTGGTGCAAGGTGAAAACATTTAAACAAGAAATTTAATAAATCTTATTAGTTTCTAAAGCTATATATAATATTATATATGAATTATAAATAAAATGTGCTTTAATAGCAAAAAAATTTAAACATATTTTAACATAAAATATTCAAAATTCTTGTGATGAGTATATTATAATTAAATTAAAAGTACCTTCTAGATAGTGATGTTATTCTTGAAATGAATCCACAATAGTAAGAAGTTATTTGTTGTAGATCTTATAATATATTTTTATTTTTATTTTTTTAAATAAAAAGAATTAAGATAAAATTATATTCTTAAAATATAATAAAGTATTAACATAATTTATATTTTTTCTTTTTAAAATTAATTATTATTTTTTTCACAATAAAATTTTTAAAAAACCAATCTTATATTTAATCATAAATATGAAACCTTGGTATAAACCATGGTTTAGTTATTTTAAAACTAAAACCTTTATTTAATTCTATTAAAATTATATAATAAATTTTATCTTAGTTTAAAAGTAAAATCTAATATAAAATTATATATATATATAATTTTTAAAAAATATCCCAAAAAAAATAATATATTCAAACTATAACAAAAAATTAGATAAAAAGAATCAACTATAATAAATACATGTGAAAAAGTTAGTACGTTTTAGATACTTTGATATTTCTCAGTTTACAAAAAGCTTATGTATTGTAGTCGGTGTACTTAAAGACTAGCTTCTTATCATAGTTTTATTGTTAAAAATTGTCCCTACATTGCATTCTATGCAATTTTTAAGCATGCATAATTCTTACAAAATGTCATGCCAATTTGTAATTCGCAAGTATTTCTTCTTCAAGTCAAAGGGATGGTTCTATTATATTCTCTCCATCTTTTGCTAAATCAATGCAATTTTTATAGCATTGCCTAACTCATATGAGATTTTTCTTTTTTATTTATTAGTAGTAAATCCAAACACCTAGGATTTTATGCGTGTATAACAAAGACTATTACATCCAACCTTAGATTTCTCATCTCAAGATTTACTTAGGATTAAGTTTTTTGTATATATGTACTTGTCATGATGTAAAAACTTTCTCTTACATTCTTAAACCAATTTATTTTTTTTAGAGAATTAAGCTTAATGAAATGCTTACATGGTATTAGAATAGTGCTTTTAAGCACTTGAATTAGCACAAGATTTAGTAGATAGTTCTAAAAGCTCTTGTACGTACTTGAATTAGCACATGAATTAGCACATAATTGTAGAAGCTCCTATACATCCACCTAGAAATAGCTCCAATGGAAAAAAAAAGTTTTTGAGTCTATGAAGCTACAAGGCCCTAACAAATACATCCTAGGGAGCTGCAAAGTTAAGATGATTTTACTCCAAGAAGAATTCTTGAAATATGTGGAAGTTGTCAAAGATGTTGACTTTAGTAGAATAAGCACAAAAAGTATAAGAGAA